CTCAGCAATGTTTTTGAAGGACACTTTGTATTTAACCATAACACCTATCAAGGATGATACATAACTCATACCATTCTAAAAGCTTGATGGACTTTGTTTATTACCTGAAGTGGATATGTGAGGACATTCAGACTTAATTCTCTGGGTGAGATCCTGGCTTAGAAAGGGCTTAGAGTGTCTAATCTATACGATAAATACAAACTCCTGAGTATCGTACACAGAGTTCTGGATTTAGCCTATGTTCCCCTCTTGGACTTCATCTTACTTCCTCAATCACCTACCTGGGTTAAAACCATGCTAAACTACTTGGAATTCCCCAAATACATCATCCTCTTTTGTTTTGTTTTGTTTTGGTTTTTAACCTCTGTTCAGTTATTCTTGACTTTCAGCAAGCAGCTCATCTGTTACTTCAACTGAGCTCTTCTCTGAGTCGTCAGAACCAGAGTCCATCCCTGTAACACCTGAAGGCCAGGACTGTGTACTGTTTATCTCAGCAGGTGCTACAGCTAGTGCAGAACTCCGCCTTGTGTTGGCTGTTGATAAACGTCAGTTACAGTCGCCTGGCTCATCTCCTCTGCTGCTGAGTGTGGCGTTCCATCTGTAGATCACCTGTACATCAAACAGGTGTAATGCATAGTTAACATGCTTAGGGAGCTTATAATAAGCTTTGGAGATAGTACCTAAAAGCAGTATTAAGCACTACTTCCAAGATTACACAGTGCTCAAGAGCTTGCATGGAGGAATTGGGCCTGGGTTCAAACTGTGGTTCTTCTGTTTGTTGTCTTACAGACCCAGGAAAAACTGTGAAGAGGACATGATATATTAGACTAGCACAAAAATAAGAACAGCAACTTTGCAAGGCTGTGTGCTTTAAATGGGACATACATGTGAAACCCTGAGCACACTGCCTGACCCAGAACTTTCAGAGAATGATAGCATGGAACAGTGCAGGTAATGAGGCCAGTTCCACACAAATGTTGCAGGTGGAAAGTGCCATAGGAGTTGAGAGAAGGATAATCAGTGTGGGTTACAGAGATGGGTGAGATCCAGTGGAGGAGGTAGAATATGAGCCAAGCTTAGAAAGAAAAGTAGACCTTCGATTAGGAGACAGGAAGACATTTCTGGCAGTATGAAGCAAAGATAGAGCCCCGGAGAATGACTGCGTGTGCCTTGCCTATAGACTAGTTTTGCAACTAAAATTTACATTGATTTATGCATATGTGCTCAAACATTTTTCCAAACACAACATGAACATATTGATCTCTAGCCATAATGTTTTCTCATTTTAAGGAATTCAGGCCCTCCTCTCTTTTCTATATCCGTTTGCTAAGTTCACATGGAGTCCGCAGTTTTGCTGTTGAGGTCAGCTCAGTGGAACCATTTTTGGCTCAGCATAAGGAAATGGTGTACAAAACTAGCTGCACATCATATCACCCGTGGAATCTTTGGGTCCAACAGAGCTCCACATTGCACCCCAGAGATTCTGATGTTGGCTCTGATGTGGGACGAGAGTCGACATCATTAAAAGGCTCCTTGGTAGTTCAGCTGGCCAGCCATCTTGGGGAACTAGTTGCACCTTGGGGACTTCATCCTGATCAGTTTTTAGCCATACCACCTTATAATTATTCCTGAAAAGCAAATCAAATTTGTTTGAATTTTGTGGGGAGTTGAAAATCGTAGTTTTGCAGAACTGATCAATTTTCTACATAGAAAACAATTCAGAAGACATATCAGTTACATTTCCTGTAGGGAAAAATCTCTTCCCTTGGCATATCTCAGCAGGAACCAGGTAAAGGAAATACCCTGGTTAAAGGAGGCTCTCTACCTGCTGAATTATGGGTTCCTTTCTAAAAACATCCATTTGTTCAAAAGTCTTAAAACCAAATTCTCACTCATTGTGCTTTTCCATTTGTTCTGAGTGATATTCTGGAATTGCCCAAGATTGTGCTTCTTCTCTTTCTGATAACCTTTTTGGATTTTGAGAGACAGTTACAATATCATGTATTCCTTAGTCTTTTCTCTTCTGGGAGAAACGTGCCCACTGGTTCCCAGATAGACACCTCTGGATAGACACCTCTGCACTCACTCCTATTTGATAATGCCTGATTTTTTTTTTTAAATGATCTGGACTGATCATGACCTCTTCTTTGAACACAGCTGGTCCTTGGCAGTGATGGTCTGATCCTTAAAGCACAATACTCAAAGAACATTACTTTTAGTTTTCTCTTCTGGAATTTATTGAGGTTTGGTATAGCTCTGACTGCTCTCTCTCTCTCTCTCTCTCTCTCTCTCTCTCTCTCTCTCTGTCTCTGTCTCTCTCTCTCTCTCTCTCTCTC